AAGATGAGCCCCAGAGCGGGGGCGGGAAGCCCCAGGGCGCGCCAGGACGGCCGAGATGATTCCAACGTGGCCCAAGAGGAGCTCAAGACGGCAGACACACAGCTCATAAGGCCTCCAAGAGGGCCCAAGGGAGTTCCGAAGGACGTCCCGAGAGAGCCCAAAGGGGCCCAAGTCATTGAGTTGCAGTGTTTTGTTCAATGTGTTCCGCTTTCTCGCGCTCTCGATCTTCCAATGGAAATCTGACCACAGCGGGGCTTACAGCGGCACCCGTGCCTCATCTGCGACTAGAACCTAAGCACGCGCGCATAGCGCGCGCGTGGTTCTAGTGTACATATATATATATGTATATATATATATATATATGTACATATACATGGATATATACATAGATGCATACGCGTACAACAAATAAAGAAGGAGAAAACAACACAACAAAAGACAAACCACAACAAAAAAGCCCAGAAAAGGAGGGGCGTTAACAAAGCGTCCAAGTGGAGGAGGGCCCCCCGTCACGCAGTGCTCTGGCCGGCGGAGGCGCCTGCCGCTGCCGGCATGCCGGCCGCGCCCGCCGAGCGAGGGCCCGGCAGCGCGCCGAGCGAGGGGCCGGCACGACGCGGGGGCGGGGGCCGCGGCTGGCCATGACGGGGAGGTGTCCCCGGGGGGGGGGGGCGGAGGAGGCTATGGGTGCGTGTTGTCGGATGTGGCCATGGGGCGGAGGAGGCTACGGGGCGGAGGAGGCTGTGAGGCTATGGGTTCCCGCTCGAACGGGAGCTTCCCCCAGGGTCCGACAACTCGCACCCATACCCATAGCCAGTTCCCCTCCTTTCGGCCCTCCTATGGGTGTGGGTGTGAGCCGTTTCGCCCGCCATCGTCCCCGCCCCTCGCCCGAAGGCGGCCCCTCACGGGTGGAAAACCGCCCCCCTGAGCGGCGCTGGCGGCCTCTCGCCCTCGCGCGAGGAGAACAAACGGGGAGGGCGCATTCGATCGGAAACTGGAGCATACACACTACCAGTGGCGGCATTTGTTTCGATCCCATGACTTGTCTGAGGGTCGGGGAGGACGCCGGGGTGGTGTGGCGCGTACTCCTCCCCCGTTTTCCGAGGGAAGCAACGAAACATGTATACACCAGGATCCCGTATACACCAGGATCCGCGTTCCCGTGCGAATTTCAGCGCAGGGTCGGAAAAAACGCGTCGGTGCATAGAGTTCGCTTCCCTACTAGATGCCCGGCTGCCGCCGAGCAGTTGGGAGGCCTGGAGCCCCAGGGTCGCGTGGAGGTGGCCTTCCTGATGCTGCGCCGGCATCCGTGGCGCAGCCCCGAGGGCGCCCCTGGCACATCCCGTGGCGCGTCCGTGAGCCTGTGCCCCGTGTCGTGTCGTTCCTTTTCGGAGCTGAGTCGGACTTCGGAACCTCGAAGGGGTCTTGGTAGCCAGCCGTCAAGGGCAGAAAAAACGCCCCTACCCTGGTTTACGAGGCGTTGTGCGCTGAAACTCCTGTGGGCTGACAGGGTAAACCCTGCGTGATGTGCCGCGTTCTGGCGGCTCTAGGCTTTGGGGGTTCCCAGGAGGTTTACAGACCACGCACTTGTAACCCAGGGTAGGGCCGTTTTTTAATCCCTCAAAATCATGGGAGCATGGTGCAACCTCTTCGTTCCGTCTTCAGCGTCGATTGGCGTCTGGGAGTCGATGGCATAGCGCCGATTTAGCGTCGTTCCAGCGTCGATCAGCATCGATTTAGCGTCGACTAGCATCGATTCGCAAGAGCCAACAGGATGATCTGGGAGGCCCCCATGAGATGCCACCGAAAAGGGTCCTGCCTTGATCGGAGCTCACGTCGGGTTTACAGTGGAGCCCCATGCCAAGAAACACCCTGCTTGCCTCCAGGGCGCACAGTGAATTTCTTGGGATTCGATGGTTTTGCAATGGAAAGCTTGACGCTCCCACACCAAAGGTCAATGGACGCCTGGGGTCTCAGGATTGGGTTTCTTGTGGAAGGTTTCTTGTGGAAGGTTTCTTGTGATCGGGCCTCCACTGCAATGTCAGCTTGCGATTAACAAATGGCCAGACCCCCCCCCCCACCGGGGCTGATGAATAGACCCCGCGGAGCGCGATACTTTTTTTAATCACGCGCGCCAGGGGGGAACAGGAGAGAGGAGGGGGGAGGAGAAGGAGGAGAAGGCAGAGGACGAGGAAGAGGAGGAGGAGAGGGAGGAGGAGGAGGAGGAGGAGGAGGAGGAGGAGGAGGAGGTGGAGGCCTGAGCGTCGAAGAGAGCGGCCGCTGGAAACGGGCGCAGGCAAGGCTGGGGGCTGGGGACGGCGGCGACGACGGCAACAGAGGGGGGGAGGAGGAGTGCGTACCCGCCTTGCTCGGATCGGACGAAAAGCTAGGGAAGGAAAGGGGGGGTGCGAAGCCTGCTGCGCGCAGCTGGTTTCGGTCGCCCCGCCGAAGGGCCAGTCCTCGACGCATGGCCGCTTTCGGCGCCAGGAGGTGCTTGGAAAATCGGCGACGTGAGCTGCTTGGCAAATCCCCCCTTTGCTGCGCCCCACTTTCGTCCGGCCCAGCCCGCCTTGCCCGCAGGCCCTCATGTCATCGGCGCCGCCCCGTTGATTTTCAATATGGTGGGCGCCGCCCCGCGATTCGCCCGAGCAGGGGATCTATGTTTGTAAACACGCGCCCCCCACGGATCTGTTAATCACAAGCTGACATTCGCCAGGACCCCGGTTCAGGGGAGTCGGTTCGCGATCGGGCCCTGAAGCCCAACGAAAATTCGGGCCGGAGTCACCAACCCGGGTCTGCCGTCCTTAGTGGGTCTTTTTTCGGGTGACGGCACTTGCGGTTGGTGGAATGGGGCTGCGGACAGGGCTCGTTTCGATTCTCCTTCCGATTCGATTCGATTCGAGTAGAATTTCAAATGCTTCCGATTCCGATTCGATTCGGTTTCGAATTCCGATTTGGTTCCGATTTCTCAGTGGAGACCGACTAACTCGCCGATTTCCGCCGATTCGATGTGTCCCGATTTGGCGGCCGATTCCCGCCGAGTCGATTCATTTAGACCGCCGATCCGACTTATCGATTCGATTATGGGCTTTCCTGGAGGGAGGCGTCCCCAAGCACACACCACGAAACCAGGTCATACCCAGCCCCGCCACCGCCCGAGTAACGTGGGTCAGCGCTACAGTCAACGCGCCTAGTAAGCACGCGCGCATTCATCTAGGGTGCCCTTGTGTCCCTGCCTCTGCGGCCCGTCCTTTTTGCCGTTATCACTGGTCGCCAGCCGCCCAACACATCCCAGCTTTGCCCTGCAAGAGCCTTGCGTCCTCACCACCCGTCCCGAATACACGTTTTGACTGTAAAAAGGAGGGGGGTCAGCCGGTCAGCCAGTGGTTGACTCAGATTGGGGAGCCACGTGGGGACGGTTTCCTTTTTCCCGCCTTCCGCCCTGAGATCCGTAGGACTTAGTGTCGGGGTGACGCAAGACTCGAGTAAGCCGGAACTTGGGTTTGCCGACGTTTGTTGGCGAGCGCGTCCTGGATTTTGACGGTCCAGTTTTCGTGGAAGGTCTGCCGCGGGAGCTCGCGCGTCAAATTTCAGTTTGGGTCGTGTCATTTTCAGTATGGCCGCGCCAGGCCGACCCGAGTCCCACGTACCCGAGATTTACGCACCCCCGATAGTGGAACAAACATTGGCGCAAACATTCCCAATTCGGAGGTCCGCGCGGATGTCTTGGATCGGTGCTGGGCCCCCCCTGGCGGCGCCGCCCTTGGCGCCGCCCTTGGCGCGTTCCGCGCGCCAGGGAGGGTGGTTCAGAGCAGATCCAAGAGATCCCCGCGAGGTTTCCAGAGTTTCCTTGTGCCGTGTTCTGTTCTTTTAGACTCGGGTCTTGCGTGTTGTTCAAGTTTTCGAGTTTTCGCACAGATTCGGGCCTCAGGGCCATCGCAGACCGCTTTCGGCTCGAAGCAAAAATATAAGAAATATTGGATCTAGGGTTGCGGTCGTGATGTGGCGCGATGTTGCATTTTGTTCGCACTGTCCGATCTCCCCGAGCCGCATGGTACAGGGCCCTCCCCGAGCCTCGTGACCGGCAAGAAGCGATTCGGGATGAAGAGCTGGCCCCGGGAGGGAACATCCCGGGGTCCACTGCTTAAGTCGGGCGTGTCTATCTACAGGAAGGATATCAGAAAATTGTCCAACAATAGTCGGAGGATTGTGTTTCAACTAGTTTTGATTAGTCTTGAAGATTTTGAAGCTCCTGTTTATTTGTTCTCCAAAATCCGCCAGTAGGAGGACATGCCCGACCTAATCCAGTGCCCGTTTGCCTCAGGCCTTGTTTCTTTCTGGTCACACGACGGTGACATCGGCGGCGATGGCAAAGACACACGATGGCGGCGACGATGGCGGACGAGGCAGCGACGGCGGCGACGGCGACCTTGAAGGTGGCGCGCGCCCAATCCCCGACGCTGATTATATTTTTCAGGCAGCAAGCGCGAGGGCTCTCAAGGCCGCGGACGCGGTGAAAGAGCTGGCGCCAGGCACCCTGCTCGTCTACTGGCGTGTGACTGCAGGTGCTGTCCCAAAAGTAAAGGCCAGTGATTGGTGGTAGGAGGAGGAGGAGGATGAAAGAGAGGAAAAGGAGGACGGAGCGAATGGTGTGGGAGCAGCGGGGGGGTAAGGGGTTAGGGAACAGGAAGGTGGAGGGCTGGAGGGAGGCGGAGTAAATAGCTCTCGCTCAACGTGGCCCAATATTCTTATGGCAAGACATCGTATCGTAGAAGGGACTGCGCTTCTGGGCCGTGACAGCGAGGCGTCAGCGAGCAGGGCTGGGGTGATGATGAGCACTCTTCCCCGGCGCGTGCGTCCAAACGACCATCGTGAAACGGTCCTCTGGGCTGCTCGTCTTCGGCCCAAGAACTACAACGTGTCGTGTGTGTGTGTGTTTTCTGTCGATGTGTGACAGGGAGCCGCTGGGCGTGGAGGAGCGGGGCGCGTGCGGCGCGCCAGAGGCCTGGGTCCAGCTCACCGGCGAGCCCGAGGGCGGCGGCCCCGCGGTGCCGATGCTGGAGCGCGTGCGGTCGGCCCCCGCGGCGCTCTCTCGAGCCCCTGGCGTCGCTCGGACGTGTGCATGTTTCCCTCGGCGAGGGCCATCGAGGGACATCCTTGACCAGCTGGCGAAAAAACCACGCACGAAACCGAACAAAAACACAGGGAATGGACGTCCGAGCGATGGCCAGAGCCAGGACGTGCTCGCGTCGTCAGAGAATCGGGGCGGGAGGCGTTGGGCCGAGGTCGGCCTCGGGGGGCCTCGCCGGGCCTCGGGACCGTCAAGAGACGACTCGGGATGAAGAGCGAGTCCTGGGGCAGGGGCCGGGGTTCAACGGCACCGTAACGGGTACTTACTAACGGGCACTTTGAAATGTTGCCGAAAGTTGCCACTTTAGGGCCTTTTTCTGGCATTGCAGCGTTGCCCACATCGGGAAGGGTTGGGTTCGCTGGGTCACTGGCCAAAGTACCCGTTAGTGGAGTCCCCGTGTGAGGGGCGCTGAGGGGTTTCCAGGAACCCTGTATGGAGGAAATCAGGACGTCGCATGTCTGGGAAGTTGTCTCGTTTCGGGCATCGGCTCGTTTCAGGGAAGCGTAAGACTCGAGTACGCCGGGACGCGGGTTTGCCCACGCTTTTTGACGAGCGCGTCCTGGCTGTTGACGGTCTGGTGCTCGCGGGAGGTCTGCAGCGGGAGTTCGCGTAAAATGTTCGATAGGCTCTCATCATTTTCGTGGTGGGTTCCATGGGCACGGTAGGTTCACGCGGCGTTGGCGCGCTGGCGAGGCCGGCAAAAGCGGTAAAGGTTGAGTTCCGTACGCCGAAGAAGAAAAAACGCCATAAACGTAGATTTGTGGCGCTCCGCGCGGATTTCTTGGATCCGCGGTGGGCCCCCCCTGGCGCACTCCGCGCGCCAGGGAGGGGGGGTCCAGAGGGGGGTCCAGCGCGGATGCAAGAAATCCGCGCGGAGCGCCAACAGTTTATGTTCATGCGTTTTTCTTTGCAAATGCGATAGGGTAACGCGGAAGCACTGAGGGACATAGTTAAGCCACAGGACCCAGCCAGCGTTCTCTCGATCGGGAGGCCGAGGATCGAAGGTTACGCGTTGCATCTTCGGGGACCCCGTCGGTCCCCCAAGTTGGTGTTTTCCTTGCGCCCGACGCGGGCTCGATGCGGGCTCGACGCGAATTTGGCGTGAATTCGACACAGATTCGACGCGGGTTCGACGTGGATAGGGACAGATCAGGTCCCCTTACGATGCAGCGTAACGAAGGGGAAGCAGTTATCTCGTTCCGTGGGTCGCCTCCTCGGTTCCAGCCTCCCACTGGCCGGGATCTTTAAAAGGAACCAAATTGCATTACATCAATTCTCTGAGCTCCGCGCGGACTTCGCGGATCGGCGCTGGGCCCCTCGCCCGGGAGAGGGCCCGGCGCCGGTCCGAGCAGTCCGCGCGGAGCTCCGAGATGTTACGCTGGTGCAGTTTTGGTGGTTTCTTCTGCCCGGTGGGGAGGCCGAGGAGTTGGACTCCTATCAGCGAGCGAAGAACGGTATAAAATAAACTTTCCGCCGTCGGGGACACCTGCCCCTGGGCGGCTGGAAAGTTTATACCCCTACGGTGCCACCGTAAGGGTATAAACTTTCCAGTCGCCCAGGGACAGGCGCCCCCGACAGCGAAAAAGTTTATTTTACACCGTTCTTCGCCCATTAATCCTAGGCCTCCCGAGTGGATTCCTAGCAGCTGGGGTCGGAGGATAGCGCCGAATCGCCGATGCAGCGCAGATGCTGCTCGAGGCGGAGCCTGATTTGCTCCGCGTTGGCGTCGCCGAGGCACCGCCGATGCATCGGCGATGCGGCGCGATCCTCTGACCCCGTCTAGTCGGACCCCATCTGGGAGGCCTCTGTGGAGGGGCTTCAGTGGCGGCCGCCTGTGGACGCGCGACTTCTCCGCCAGCCGACCAGATAAAAAACACACGCCGTGGAAGGGCAGTTCTCCTTGCTTAACACCAGAGAGCTGCGCGGCACATGCGCTGTTCGAGGGGGCCCTCGGTTTACAGTGACGGCTTGCGCGCATGTGCGCGCGCGCAGTCTGTGCGCGAGTTGCCGGGCAGGTTCGCAGATTTGGGTTATGGTAGCTTGGCGGTGCCCCAGCCTAGGCTCTACCGGGCCAAGTGTCGGTAACGCAGCCGCAGCGCTTTCGCAAGGCGCACGCGGCCTGGCGGCGCCACGGCCGGCGTGGCCAGGGGCAGAGGTGGGCGTCTCAACCGAGCCGCGCGCCTGGTCAGCGTCGGGCTTCGGCGTGTATGTCTTCAGCGCGGGCGCAGTGGCGTCTGGCACTCAGGCAGGCCGCGCAAGATGTGCCAGCGCAAAGAGCGCGCGCTCGAACAGCAGCGGGCGCGGAGGAGCAGGCGAATGATGAATTAGGCGCACGTTCTGCCAGGCTCTGTAGCGCAGTGCGAGCACTGCAGTGCGAGTACTCATTGTTACTGTTGCCGCCGCCATGGAAAGTTGGCTTTCATGCTAGTCTGCCGAAGCTGATGACCATAATGTCCATTGTGGTGGCATTCGCTTGGCCTGCTGATGTTCCGATGGTGCCCCGATTTTGCCCTGCCGGTGTCCCGATCGTACTGAACGCCACTCGCTGTGAGATCGTACTGAACGCAACTCCTGTCGGTGTCCCGTCGGTGTCCCGCGGTGTCTCTTGAAGAGATCGATGGTAAAGGACGTCTTGTAGTATTCATTTGACTCGACGGGGTCCTGGTGGTATTTACTTGACCTCGAACGGGTTCCGGTGTGTGGGGCCGAAGTTCGTCTTTGTCAGTTGCATTTGCAGCATTTGCGGCCCGAGCAGGCCTGCTGGTGTCCTGATCGTACTCGACACCACTCGTTGTGAGATCGTACTGAACGCAACTCCTGTCGGGGTACCGTCGGTGTCCCGCGGTGTCTCTTGGTGAGATCGATGGTGAGGTCGTTATGGGATCGCGGGAGCTTCGGAGCCAAATAAATGCAACCACAAGCAGGCGATGGGCAGTTCTGGTGGCATTTTTTGGGCCTCGAAGGGGTTCTGGTGGTATTTATGTGGCCTCGAAAAGGTCCTCACTCATTCACGCAAGCCAAACGCCGTCCGGCGCGTGGCGTGGGCGGGAAGAAAACAGGCTCAGCACAGCCTGCGCTGCCAGGAGGAGGAAGGAGGAGAAGGAGGAGGAGGAGGGAAGAAACAAAGAATGTTGAGGCGGCCTGCCGGGGCTCACGGGCACGTGTCCTTGTATGTTCATGCAAACTCTTTCCACATGTTTTCGTCCTTGATGGCTTCGAGTAGGCGCTGTTCTGATGGGAAGCAATCCTTTACTTTTGACGTGCAAGCAGTTTGTCCATTCATTTCTCGGTCTCCGGCGAGATCTCGTCTCAGTGCTTGTTGTTGGACGCGCATTGTTAGGCATAGTAGTAAGTAGCCTCAGTGCATCCGCGTTGCTGCTGCGATAAACCTTTCCAAACCACACCAATTGACTCTTCAATAGCTGCGGTGTGTAAGGTATTTGTGCCGCTCTTTCCAGTGTGGTTCTGTTGGACACCCTTGTAACATAAGGTGGTCTGATGCCCAATCTGACACAAGCACCTGGCTTGAAACCCATCGAGCTTGCGTCTCAGCTTTGTTGAGCCATGCGCTCCTTAAAGAAAACATCACTATGGTTGTGATGAGTGCCCCAAACACTTCCAACTTTCGTTTCACACTGATTGACGTATGTTTCCACGCCTGCGCATACCTTTGAAATTCCCCCCATGCAGCACCATGTTCCCGGTGTCGTACAGTGTAGCCCCTGAGTGTTTCATGTGCGCGGTGGGAACAATGAGTTTTCCAGCGGAATCGGTAATGCGCAAATCGCAATGTATTTGAAGCAATTGAAATTTGTCCCAGTGCAGCTCCATGCCCATATTTGCACCGGCACGTGCAACTGCATCAAAAGTTGTTGCATATGTCGCTGTATCGCCTGCGTACCGAAAGGCTTCCTGAAGCCAATGTTCGAGCAACGTCGTCTTCCAAGTACGTTTCCGCGTCTTTGACAAGCATTGTCAGGACCATCACAAACAAAAACGGCGACAATGGACACCCTTGTGATATACCGGAATACTGCCCCCGCTCTTCTGACATTTGAGGCCCGTTTGCCACGCAGAACCGACGGGAGCCATATATGTTCCCAAGTAGTTGCAGCAGGTGTGGGGTCACACCGAATGCGGCAAGTGCATCGAGAAGAGCCTGCACATGTATGGAGTCGAATGCCTGTTTCCAGTCGAGCGCCAATAGGGCCGCACCATGGCGAGCGGCATGTGCTAGTTCTATATGTCTGCGGGCGGCATGAACGGCGTCGGGTGTGCCTTTGTGCTCTCTAAACCCATACTGTGTTCCACTCAATCTATCCTCAGCCCCTGCTTGTTGCGCAATCTCTTTAGCAGTAAACTCGCAAACAATTTGGAAATAACGCACGGCAAGCTGACTGATAGGGCGGTAGCTGTCACACTGATCCATTGTGCCCTTGTTTTTGTATATTGAGGCAATGACTGCATGCCGCCAGTCTTCTGGAATGTCCCTCACGCGCCAGCATTGGTTGATCAATTTTGTGATGGTGTCCAGCCCTTTTGGGGTCCTGTGACAATGCTCTCCAATACTCAGCTGGGATGTCGTCCGGCTCCGCCGCCTTTCCTTGTTTGAGTTTGGATATCGCTGCACCCACTTCACGCGATGCAAAACTTTCTTCTGCGATCGGCAATACCGGCCCCAACGGTCGACGTGGAAAAAATGTCGCTGGGCGCACCTTCCATTGTATTTGTTCGAAATACTCTGCCAGTGTGTCTGCTCTGTCCGTGCTGTCAACGAGATCGCCGGGCAAATTTCTCAGCCGTCTTTGTTTGCGCGGTTTTGGCCAGCACACGCGCGGCTTGAGCGAAGCCCAATTTGCAGCAGCAATCTGTTGATCCAACCAAACGGTTTTATCAATTTTGGCAGAATGTTGCACTTGTTTTGACAATTTCTTCTCTTCTATTGAATTGTTACTGGCCCGAGCTGTACCCCGCTGTGCTATCAGGTCCACAGTACGCTGTGTGATCCATTGTTTCTGTCTCTTGCATTCGCGGCGGGGCAGGACCGTCTGGGGGCGATCGCATTCTTCATGTATTTTCACGTCTGCTGCGCATTGCCTGCAGCGGCACTGTGTCCGTTGAAGTGGTTATGATGGTATGTATTTGGCTGCTGGTGTCCCAATCATACTGGACGCAACTTGCTGTGAGATCGTACTGAACGCCGTTCCCGTCGGTGTCCCGTGGTGTATCTTGCTGAGATCGATGGTGAAGTCGTTATGCGATCGCTGGAGCTTCGAGGCCACATAATGCCACCAGCAACTGTCGAGAGGCAATTCTGATGGTAGTTATTTGGCCTCGACGCGGTTCTGGTGGTATTTTTTGCCTCGAAAGGGTTCAGGTGGTATTTATTTGGCTTCGAAGGGGTTTTGGTGCGTGGAGCCGAAGTTCGTCGCTGTCAGTTGCCCTTGCAGCATTTGCTGCCCGCGCGGGTCGCGGCTGAGTCGCCGTCATTACATTCGCCGTTCTGCATTCTCACCGTCAGCATCATCGTGCATCGGCGCTGTCTCGTCGCCATCAAAGTCATTGAATTTGTCGTCTGTTGGATTTCCCTCTCCCCCAAACATTCTTATCACCCGAAAGGTGCTCGTATGGGTATCATCTTGCCGGTGCCGGCCGCACTTTCCGCTGCCCCCCCAGGTGAGGCGCCCAGCCGGCGGGACGCTGAGTCGCCTTGCGAGGGCGCCCTCTGCGACTCCGGGGCGGCCGTGCGAATTTGTGCTGAAGTCCTAAAAGCGTGAGGAGGTGATCGAGGAGGTCAAGAAGATCGATGATATGGAGTAGGAGGAGGAGGAGGGAGGAGGGAAGAGGGAGGAGGGGGGAGTAGGTGGTGGAAGGAGGAGGCGGGAAGAGGAAGAAGCTGAGGAGGCCCCCTTCTTCTGGCTAGTCTCGTAATTGTCCCGTTGTTCCTCAGAGGTTGTCCTAGTTTTCTTCGTGCTTGTTGGATGTTCTTGTGCATCCTGGGGGAGGGTACGCTCGAAAGCGGTTCAGCGTGGCCAACGGAGAGATTCCTATTCTTGAAGGATGTTCTTCTGTTCTAGGCCTGACCGTATCTCTTTCCACGTGACAGAGCCGTTGTTTGGGCTGTGTTGTGCGATAGGGGGCAGAGGAGGGTCATGTGCTCTAGAAGCAATGTACCCGCTGGGTCAGATCCCGCACAGTGCTTCAGACACAGATGGCAGAATCGGGAGCGAGAAGCAGGAGGTTCAGAGGATCAAGCTGCTACCAAGGGTTGTCCTCAGCCGCTTCAACTCGAGTGCCAAGCGCATCACGCTTCCGGAGTTACTAAACTTACCAGGTAACGTTACAGCGATGTCCAGTGCATCGGCAATGAAGATGTCTCCAGGCGCGAGTGGGATTGCAAGAGTTCGGCGGAATTTGGGAGAGCCGTGATGAGGAGGAGGAGGAGGAGGAGGAGGAGGAGGAGGAAGAGGAGGAGGAGGGGGAGGAGGAGGGGGACGGAAAGGAACGGGAATAACGTCACATTGTACACCCCTCGTCGTCATTGGTCGATTGGCTCTCAGGTAACTCAATCGGGCCGTCTTTGGGCTGTCTTGGCCTCTTGTGAGGCAGTCTGGATGGCTACTTGGGGCCCTCTTGGGCCGTCTTGCGGCCCGCTTACACCTGTTTGGGGCTCTCTTGGGCCAGGGTGGGACTCTCGTGACTGTACGGCGGGTGTCGGAGGGCCGCCGTGGTGCAGTCGTGGCGCCGTCTTGCGTCCAAGGACCTTCCAAGGCCGTTTTGGGTCCCGCGGGAGGCTCTCTTGGGCCGTCTTCGGAGGCTCTCTTGGGCCGTCTTGGAGGCCTCTCCCGTTGGGGCCGTCTTGAGGTCATGTTGAAGGCCTCCTGGGCCGTCTTAAGCTGACGGAAGCCCGAAAAGATGAGAATGCGAAAACCCTACCAGAATCCCATGCAATTCAACGACGTTGACTTTTTCGCACGCCAGTGGGGGTTCTCTTGGAGGCATCTCAGGCAGTCTAGAGTCCATGTTTGGCCGCCTTGGGGCGATCTTGGCCCGTCTTCGGGGCATCTTGAGCCATCTTGGTTGCCTTGGTTGCTTGCCTGGGCGCCTGGGCCATCTTGAGAACTCGAGTCGGGGGCACATCGTTGTTGCAGAAATCGTGCCTGGGTAGCGTGGATCCATGCTTTTCTTCGGAAGCAAGAAAGATTGGAGGGAGGGAGGACCCTCCAGAGCCTCACCCGGCATTCTAACACGCCTCAACGTGCCAGGAGGCACGGTGGCGGATTGGTTTCATGTTCTCTTCGTTTTCACCTTCCTCCTCCTCCTCCTCCTCCTCCTCCTCCTCCTCCCCTCCTCCTCCTCCTCCTCCTGCTCCTCCTGCTCCCCCCTCCTCCTCCTCCTCCTCCTCCTCCTCCTCCTCCTCCTCCTCCTCCTCCTCCTCCTCCTCTTCCTACTCCCAGTCTCCAGGCGTGAGCAGGTTCGGAATAGGTTGCTGCACGGTTCCCACGCTCCCAGGAGCTTCGCACCCATCATTCATCATTTCTCTCTCCCTCCTCCCTCTGTTCCTTCCTTTCCTGCTACATCGTCCTCGTCCTCCTGATTCCTTCTCCTGCCAATCTCACCCACCCCTCCTGCTGCCGCTCCTCCTCCCTGATGTAGCCTCTCCTCCTCCTCCTCCTCCTCCTCCTCCTCCTCCTCCTCCTCCTCCTCCTCCTCGTACTCCCCTCCTCCTCCTCCTCCTCCTCCTCCTCCTCCTCCTCCTCCTCCTCCTCTCCTACTCCTCCCTCCTCCTCCCTCCTCCTCCTCCTCTCCTCCTCCTTCGCCTCCTCCTCCTCCTCCTTCTCGTCCTCCTCTCCTCCTCCTCCTCCTCCTCCTCCTCCTCCTCCTCCTCCTCCTCCTCCTCCTCCTCCTCCGCCTCCTCCTCCTCCTCCTCCTCCTCCTCCCTCCTCTTCCTTGCCGGAACTCCTTTTTGTTCTTGAGCATGCCCCCTCTTTTTCCCTCGAACCCTCGTCATCCTCCGCACTGTCCTCCTCCCCCCTTCCCTCCGCCACGCCGAGCTCACTTCTGAGACTTCTCCCAGGCTGCTCCCGCAGAGTGTTTCGTTGCCGTACCCATCCCACTTCTAGATGCTCCCCCTCCCCCGCCCCCCCCTCCGTCCCCCTCATCCTTCTCCCATGAGAGTTCAGCCGCGGGTGCGGCGACCCCCATCGCCGCGTTTGGGGCTCGGGGCCATGACGCGTTGACGCTTTCGTTGTGACCTCGATCTGTTGCTGTCGGAAGCGCGCGGGTCGTTGTCGGTCGGATACAGTGGGGGCGCGCACCAAGAAACCATTTGCCTTTCGTCAGGGTGCCCTGAGTTTTTTTGCTCCGCGCGCTGCGCGGTGACTTCCAGGGCCGTCGAAGAAGCTGCTGCGTCCAGGGTGCTCCGGGTTTCTCCTCTCAGTTGCACCTCGCGCGCGGGTTTTCAGGGTTGGGTTTTTTTTGCCAGGGTGTCTTGCGACCGCGCCCGCGCTGCATGGCTCGCTCCGTCCGCAAGCTCCGACGGGTGTGTGAAGGCCTCTCGTGAGCCCGAGCACCCGTCGGAGCCAGCTCACGGCGAGCGACCGTGTCGGCCCGGCCCGGCGCCCCGACCGCGCGGAGGGTGGCGGTCTGCTGCCCGAGGTCTGGCCCCGGAGTTTTCTGGAGTCGGGGTTAGCTTCAGGTCGGGCCCGTCCCTCTATAGGAGGAAAATTCAAAAATGGTCCAGATCTAGTCTGGGGGCGATTTTGCGACCATGTCTGACGATGTTGTCAGAGTGAGGGGGCCGAACGGTCATTCACTGTCCCTGGGTGCGTGGCTGAAGTGGAATTCCGCGGTGCGGATTCTCGTTGTTGTTGTTGTTGTTGAACATTATTAATTCTAAAGAATAATTATTGTTGGGACCCCTGGTGCACGGCCCCCCTGCGCCGCCTAGGCCGCAGCTACATTTTCATCATTTTCGTGAGGAAGCCTCAGGTAATTCGATGTGATCAAGATCCGGTTGTTTTGTTCCCCCCCGCTTTCCCTTGCAAAAAACACTATAAAATGACATTTCTTGTTCTAATATAATCAAATTTCAAGAATCCCTTGCAAAAAATAAGGTAAAGTGGACATTCGCGCGCGCAAGACGAAATCCTTCCAAAAGCTTAGTGTTCGGAGCGATTTTAACATAAAAACATCAAAAAACCAATGGTTTTTCAACAAAAAAATGTCAAAATCTCATCCCGCGCGCTCTTGCGGATTCGTAGGAAACCCAACACTTTTTAAACATTTCTGTCAAACGGGCTTTTGCGAGCAACTTTTTCGAACTTCTGCGACAACGGTTGCGCACCTGCCAGGGCCATCATCCCTGTCAAATAATACCATGCGGGACACATTCGTTTTTTGCGCGCGCACGCCGAAATCTCCAAAAACCATTGGGTTCTTAAGAATTTTACCACCGCGCATCATAAAATCACACGAATCGCACCGTAGGTCCTCGAAAAACACCTGCACGACTTTTCAAAATTTCCACCCGCGCGCGCTGTCCGAATCCTAAAAAACCAATGGTTTTCCAACATTTATGTTACATGAGCTCGCGCGAGCTACTTTCGCACGCTCTTGCAACGGGGTTCGCGCGCCTGCCAGGGGCCATAATCCCTTGCGGTTGCGCGCCCCGAATAAGTGACCAAGTTCTGTGGGTGTGTACCCCACGCCAGTGTAGTAGCCACGGTCGTCCGCACGCCACGAAGTGAAGTGTCCCAACGTCATAGGGCGGGAAGCTGGTTTGGGTGGTCGCGAAGAGTCGTTTGGATATTTGGTAGAGCTTGTAATGCCCCCCACGAAGTGGGGGTATTGCCTGGTGTCGTATGAAAACCCTGGCACTGGGGAGAACACCACGCGTTCGGGTAAAATGATTGTTGTTGTTGTTGTTGTTGTTGTTGTTGTTGTTGTTGTTGTTGAACATTATTACTTCTAAAGAATAATTATTGTTGGGGCCCCTGGTGCACGACCCCCCCGCCGCGCCTAGGCCGCAGCCACATTTTCATCATTTTCGTGAGGAAGTCTCAGGCAAAACGGGTTGGTCCGGATCCGGTTGTGTTGTTACGATCGGTTTTCCCTTGCAAAAAATAAGCTAAAGTGGACATTTCTTGTTCTAACATAACCAAACTTCAAGAATCCCTTGCAAAAAATAAGATAAAGTGGACATTCGCGCGCGCAAGACGAAATCCTTCCAAAACCTTAGTTTTCGTAGCGATTTTAACATAAAAACATCAAAAAACCAATGGTTTTTTTTTAAAAAAAAAAAAAAATGTCAAAATTTCATCCCGCGCGCTCTTGCGGATTCGTAGGAAACCCAACACTTTTTAATCATTTCTGTCAAACGGGCTTTTGCGAGCAACTTTTTCGAACTTCTGCAACAACGGTTGCGCACCTGCCAGGGCCATCATCCCTGTCAAATAATACCATGCGGGACACATTCGTTTTTTCTTCGCGCGCGCACGCCGTCGTCGTCGGCCGCGGGGCCCTGAATAGTAGCCACGGTCGTCCGCATGCCACGAAGTGAAGTGTCCGAACGTCATAGGGCGGGAAGCTGGGTGTGGGTGGTGGCGAAGAGTCGTTTGGAAATTTGGTAGAGCTTGAACCGGCCCCCCCACAAAGTGGGGGTATTGCCCGCCTCCTATGAAAACCCTGGCACTGGTGAGAACGGAGTGTCCCCACGTGCTAGTAATTGTTGTTGTTGTTGTTGTTGGTGTTGTGTTGTTGTTGTTGTTG